TTTTATGTCATGAGCCACTTTTTCTAAGGTTAAATTTCTCTTTTTAAAAAAACGGTTTTCAATTATTTTCCCAGGATGGATGGGGGGAAATTTTTCTCGATTTTTAGTCATAAGCAAAGTTTATTTATTTTTTCTTTTGCACGATAGCAAAAAAATGATTATTCCGGTTAATGCCACTCCTCCGATAATTCCCGCTACTAAACCAATTACTAATTTATGGTCATTTGGCTTTGAGTTAGTGGAATTAGTATCAGAATCAATCCCTAATTGCTCCTTAGTAATTTCTCTTTCGTGGTGTTCTTGACAATAATCTTTTAGGGTTTGATATTCTGAATTATTAGTCAATTGGTTATTAGTGATAGTTTTATTATTATGTGTAATTACTAACTCACCATTTTTAAAGGATATTTTTTTAATATTTAATTTTTGGAAAATGGTTTTTAATTTTGCTAGTTCGATATCAGTTGGTTTTTGGTTCTTAATTGGTAAAGGTGAACCGTTTATTAAGGCTTCAATTTCGGCTCACTCCTGCCTCCCTTTTTCCAAACTTTCATTTAAATGAATAATTCCGACATTTCAATGTCGCCGACCTGATTTATGCCTCAATATTTTAAAACTGTCAGGGATATTTTGACTTGGTTGGGCATAAATAGTTGAATTTTCTATTTTTCAATCTTGCGGGTTTTGCTTAATTTCTTGAATTATCGCTTTTCGGACTGCTAATTTAACTTTTCCTTCTAATGTTGTTAAATTTATTTTCTCACCCTCAATTTCTACCTGGTGAACTTTCTCATTCCAAGCATTTCAAATAGGGTCATTCCCTCCTTTCGGGGAAATATTTTCTACTTCATTTTCCTTCATTAATTCGGCATTAGCCAAAGTGCCAAGATAGTCGAGGGATATTTTATCCAAATTTCGCAATAATTTTTCTTTTATTTGGGTATTTTTTTCGTTTGGTTGGTGTTTATCCGCAAAATATTTTTGCGAGCATTCGGGGTGGAAATAAGCCACCGGAGAAGGTTTTCAGACATTTCCATAACTAATATAGGTAGTTTCGCCGTTTCACAATTTCATTCGACCATCTTTTTTGAAGGCTAATTTATTACAGACCGCACATTTTTTAGGTTTTTTCTCTCCTTTCTTTATGTCATGTCCGGCTTTTTGCCTATCATACCACCAAAAATATTCACCCTCGGGGTTTTTTGCCGTTCGATAAAAAATAGCACCCTCCTCGTCCTGTTTGTAGTAGTGTAAATGGTCATTAACGCCGAACGGAAAATGAAATTTCTCTCGGCAATACTGTCGCAAACGAGGTGAAAGAATACGGATGTGTTCTACTCCATGTTTCTCGGCAACTTCGCTTCCACTAGCAGACTCATAATCAATCC